ATTAGACTATTTACTGGATCTAACTGTTCTACCAACATGACTGCAAATCACCTTACTTTCTCCAAAAAACAAAAGTACACAACATAATAATTTTGCAACAAATGTTCAACATTTTGAAATATATTAACATTTTAAATTCAACCATTCCAAAGAACATCAAAGAGTATATTAATACATTACAGAATAATGTGGCAGCAAACAGGTACCTTGTACATATGAAAAGATGTATTAGATATAAACAGGTACATAGCAGGCCTTCACAGTCAGCCTTACACATATACACATAGAAAGAGGTCTTTCTATAGCTAGCAAAGATGATGTCAAATTGAGCTAAGGCACTATGGCAATCTCACTGTCGGCTGTAACTCCCAGGCTAAGTTCCGTTTAGAACACCACTTTTAAGACTCAGGATTATTCTATCACATTGCTCTTCTAGTATACTATTGCTTTATATATTTATTGACCAAAAAGTTAACATTGTAACCTTAAAAATTCTCAAGAAGCAAATACTTAATTTTTATGTGAACTACTAATTCTGGTTCCTTTAGCAAATAAAAGAAGACCCTGTCTATATCAAAAGCAGAGACATTGTTCTCTGGAGCCAGAAAACAGTAATCATTACCAAAACCATCTCATCTCAGTCGTACACTAAAATACTTTAGAAAGCACTTTAGAAACTGGATCTTAGTGAGAACCTCACAAATCACACTATGGCATTGACAATTACCTGTGAATTCCTTGAGGAATCTAGGCCAGATCTGATTCTACTCAACCTTGAAACTACAGAGCCAGCCATGTTTGTTCGGATCACCTTTGCCTTTCAACATAGGAATATAAATGCACGGTCACATGGAGTATCAACTGATCTTCTTTTAAAGAACCATGACAAAAAAACCAGATCAGGAGTCTAATTTACATGTTCTGAACACATGGTAAATCGGGGAAGAAAGGGGAACATTTAAATAGTTTTGATTCATGTTCTACAAAATTTTGAACACTTCAACTATGAGTTTAAGATAATCTGAACCAATACCACAAATAACCTTGCCAAAAACTGTACTGCAACTGTCTTTTGTTTACTGCTGTTGTTTTGAAGCAGGGGATCACACAGTCCAGGTTGGCCTTGAACTTCTTATATAGCCAAAGCTGGCTTCCAACTCAAGTTCTTCCTGCCTCTGCCCCTGTGCACTAGAATTATGGGTACTCATTACTTCTGTGTTCTATAGCTACAATTGCTTAGTCATATACTGACCTCCATACTAAAGAAAGCTCAGAATTTGCAATGTAGTCTAGTTTGTCTGGTATGCCTGCTTCCTCTACAGCTGTAAATTCCACCATAACTCACAGCCTACAGGAGTACCATCCCACCTGCACATCTCATGCCACACCTAACTTCAGTTATGCATTTGAAACTGGCTCTTTAGGGGGAAAATAAGGGACTGGGTTCTGTATTCAAGTCTTTGATACAGTAGGATCATTCAAATTTATGCTGAATGTTATACTATCAAGGAAAAGTTACATTATATAACTGTCTGTTCATCTCTGAGTTCAAGGCCAGCCTGGTCTACAGAGTAAGTTCCGGAGACCACAGCTACAGAGAAACCCTGTCTCTAAAAACAAAACAAACAAAGTAATATACATTAGACTTTAAGATGTAGCCGGCAGTGGTGCACACCTTTAGTCACAGCAGAGGTGGAGGATCTCTTTGAGTTCAAGGCCAGCCTGGTTTATAGATCTAGTTCTGGGACAGCCAGGGCTACACAGAGAAACTCAAAATAAAATAAAATAAAAATAAAATAAAAAAGATTCATTCTTTAACAACTGTCAAGTAGTACCAATTCTTACTCTAACTTTTCCAATACGGTTGCAGTCACCAACTAGGTAACATGTTCCTTCATGCTCTGCATTATCCAGGAGCAGCTTACGTTTAATTTCCTCAACTTTGTTTTTCCTATGCTATTTATATTCATAATCTTTTGTGAGAAAAAAAATTTAATGGTTATAAAGATAAAACTCAGTTGAATTGCAGATTAAGCTATAGTTCTTATCAATCTTTTATGTTTCTCCATTTGGATTCTGGATATATAAGCATTTACTTCAGTTTCTGTTCCTCACCTAAAACTAAAAGGTTCTCTTTGGTTGGTTCTATTCTAGATATTTTCCTCTAGATATCTATTATATACAATATGACTCCTATATAATGTTATAAAAATGAGCACCTTTTCTTAAATATCACTGTGGTTTCCTTTTTCTCTATCAATATTGTACTGAACAAATGTATCTAAAAATAAAATGTTAAAACTATAATTAATTCACTTTTTACTCTGTAATTTGTTATAATTTTCAGACAGTGACATTGTTCAGGAAAAATAAATATTTGTACGTAGAAAAAAAAGCTTTATTAAAACCTCAGTGAATATGCCTCTGTAAGACTAGCTTCACTTTGAAACAGAGTGGCAAACAATGGCTGGTGACATGTTCCATCCAGGCCGTAAGCAGATGTGAGCAGCCACCTCTGTCACGGGAGCACTCTCACCCGGATCAGGTCCTCTAGCTCCTCTCCCTCTTCCCTTCAGTTCAAACTATACTGTTTCTGATTTTTTTTAAAACTTGAACTTTCCTTTCTCTTTTCTGAAGAGACTCATCTTTCTTTCCCATCAGTTGAAGAAAGGCTTTTATTAGGAATGAGGAAACACACATATAGCAAACACACAGAGAGAAAAAACCTCCAAGAAGCAGAGGGGAGACTAGGGAAGTCAGTGCCCCTTCCCACCATTTTTAAAGTTATTTTAACTAGGCCAGTAAAAGCTGACCACTTAAATGACAATGGGTGGTAGCCACAACACCAAGCACTGAAAAGTATTTTTCTGAGATACTTCTCACAACAACTTGGCTGGTGGTTATTTTCTCTTTAAGATGACAAAATAAAGGTTCAAGGAAATTGAGTAATTGGCCCAAACATAGAGATAGGAAAGAACCCCACCAGGAAATGTCCCAATCAGGGATTTAACCTACAGTTGGTCAACTCCAACGCTCATGCTCAATCCACCCCCTCATATAAACAAATACCCTTTGTCTGCCTAACCTGAGAGCTGAGAGCTAGTCGTGTCTGAGCCTCGCCAGCTTTCCAAGAGGCACTGAGGCTATCTATCACATTACATACACCTAAGCTGCCCGGCTACAATGCAGTGCTCCCTTGTCCTTTCATCGCTCTCTCTGACCTGTCAACTTTTCGAAAGCTATAGTGGTCTTTAGTAACTAAAATTTTCCTGAAGTGACAAGTAGCACCTGAGTTTAATTACTCACATCAGATAGGACCCAGAATACAAGCTTATCAGGTAAGATCACTGACTAGTAAACCTAGCTTTCTCTTAACAAGCAGTAATGATGATGAAAGTATCATCTTCTAATATATACTAAATACTCAATGAGCATTTTAAACTAAACTGAAGAATCCTAAGCAATATTTAGTATTCTCTATCTATAGAGCTGTCTATTTCATGGAGTGTCTGTCTTGCCTACAGAGCTATGGTATTTAAATGTCCATCTTAACTAATTTTCCTTTACAGTCATAACCAAAACTCAATGGAGGCTTTTATACCACTTTTTCTGGGAACATTCAAACTAGTCTTTAAAAGAGCTGATTAAATTGTCATAGATTCTCTAAGTTAAGGGGACAAAAGCAAAGTTAACATGGGCAGAGGGGTATTGTCTCTTTTTGTTTCTCTAAAACAAAGGGCAAAAATACTGTCAAGAATTTTAAGTGAGTTCTAGCCAGCTTCCCTAGCTTTGAATAAGAATTATAGTCAAGGGGCTGGGGAGATGGCTCAGCAGCTAAAAGCAGAGCCCACATTGGGTGGCTCACAACTACCAATAACTCCAATTTCAGGGACCTTCTTCTGGCTTCTGCAGGTACTTGCATGCATAAAATGCACACATATATATACTCAGGCACACACACACATACATGTAATTTTTGTTTTTCAAGACAGGGTTTCTCTGTGTAGCCCTGGCTGTCTAAGATCTCGTTTGGTAGACTAGGCTGGCCTTGAACTCACACAGATCTGGCTGCCTCTGCCTCCAGAGTACTACAGCATGCATGACCACCACCCAGCCAGATGTCGCTATTTTTAAAAAAGAATTATAATCGAAATAAGCAGAGCATTTCAGCTTACCATGGCTGAGCAAGAATAAAGCTTAAAGTACCATCTGACTGAAACATCAGTAAGGGAGAGGAAAGGAAGGACACTTATCTGCTGTGGCCTGATGGCTACCCCAAAGGCATTTCATCCTAACCCTCTTTTGAGCCTTGAGCCTTGCAGAGGCCTGTAGGTCCTGTGCTTCCCAACTCCACAAGCAGCCTTAGGCTCCTTGCTCAGAACTAATGTGTTAAAAGGAAAAGCCTATGAACCTCAAAAGGACAAAAATTTCACTTTTCAGTTACTCGAAATCTTATTCCATTTGTCCAACTTTAATCTTAAAAATAATCACCTACAGTGTGTTGATTAAAAATGTTTCCCCTCATTAAAGAAGGTTATCCATGCTCTCCATTATCAAGAGCTTAAATTTTCTAAGGACTGCTTTCTAAAGGTTGATATTTAGCTTTTTTATCACTTGGAAATTCTGATGACAGTTGATGAGTTTAAAAAAAAAACAACAACAAAATCATACTAACCTATTCTCCCACTGCTTTCCAACTATTAGCTATCAATTTTTACCTTGCTTTTATAGATATTAAAAGCAAAAGCATTACCCAAAGGAAAGATTTTAAAACAGAAAACAAGGGTTCTAGAAGAAAAATGAAGTCAATCATGTTAGTTAATAACTATCAACAGATAAATCTATATACTAAAATATTGTCATGAACATCAAGCAATCCATCACATAAATAAAGCCAAATCAAAGAAGTTATGCCTGCATTTTCATAATTATATTATTTGACAGATCAAAACATGAAGACAAACAAGACTTTTTGATAGTCTTAAATGCATACTACTTACATGACACCTTGGAGAACTTTCTGGGGATCAGGGTCAAATAGCCTGTCAACATAGTGGCGACTGCTAGCTGTTACTTCCTAGAAAGTAGGGGAAAAATAATGACATCTGAAGCCATGCAAATCACAAATCATAGAGCAAATCACCCACAACACCAAATAGCTGAATAGTCTACCTCAAGGAAGTGAATGGGGCTCCTTCCAGAACACATTTTATTTGCTCCCTAAAATGCTAATGTTAGCAGGGAATTTTTTTTTTCTCTTAGTTATCAAAATAACTAGAAACTACAGTATTCAGCTCAAGATGCCAGTGGTCAATCACATTTTTTTAAAAGATTTATTTATTTATTAAGCATACAATGTACTGCTGGCAAGGAAGGCACCAGGTCTCATTACATTGCAGATGGTTGTGAGCCACCACGTGGTTGCTGGGAATTGAACTCAGGACCTCTGGAAAAGCAGCCAGTGCTCTTACCCTTTGAGCCATCTCTCCAGCCCGGTCAATCACATTTTTAAGACCCCACCCAATTTAAAGAAAAAAAAAAACAATAACAAAGTCCATGACATGAAACACTCTTAAGCTTGGTACTGAAACTGGTAAAGAAGTTTGAGGAATCAACAAGGGTAACTTGGTTCATTTAAAAGTTAGAACTAAAAGAGGATACTCTTTTTTGTAATTAGTCTGTTAAAACTCTCTGAGAAAAACCTGTAGGTTAGGGGAGAAAGAGGACACTTGGCTCCACTAGAAACTAACCCGAGTCCCACCAGCTCTGTCAGCACGAAAGCATGCGCTCCACTGACAGCTGGATCCTGCATATGTCTGTGAGTGACACTGAGGGCCCGTTCTTCTGTCTAGTACCACTATAGGAGAACAGCTCCTGGCCAGAGCTCCAACGAAATCCCTCAGACAGACACAGGAAACATCACTGCTACCATGCTGACCAAGATGACACACACAAGGCTGGGAAGATGGCTCAGCAGTTAAGAGCACTTTCACTTGTTGGGGTTCACTTCCCAGTACCCACATTGTGGCTCATAACCAGCTGTAACTCCAGTTCTAAGAGATCAGACACCCTCTTCTGACCTCTGTGGGTACCAGGCATGTATGTGATGCACAGACATACATGCAGGAAAAACATCTGTACACATAAAACAGAAATAGACAGACAGACATGACATGACAAAAGAATTCTAAGCTAGGGTAAACTACACAAATCTATAAAACAAACATACAAGTTATGCCACACCATTTAAGTTAGAGAGAGTCTCTAACTGAACCTGGAGGCTACCAATTTCAGGGCCTCCTGATCCACTTCCCCAGTGCTAGAATTAAAGCGTATGCCACCATGCCCACTACTTCGGTGCAGGGACCTGAACTCAGGCCCTCATTCTTGAAGTGAATACTTTGCCAACTAAGCCACCTCCCCACCCCCCACCCATTTCCTGGCTTTCCAAGAGTGAGCTCTTCCGGATTTCTCCAACTCTGAGACTCTCCTACCCGGAGGCAGACATGTGGTTTTACAGTTCACCCCTTTACTCCACAGCTGTGCATCTTCTGTTGCTTCTCAATATGTTTAAAACCAACTGAAGGAAAAGCTATGGTACATAGGTGATATATCTTAACTCAAATGAGTTCCTCACACTTTTAAAAAAGTGTGAATATTTGGTTGTCCCAGTACCTCTTGGGGAAAGACACTGACTGTCTTGGTGTCCTGATCAAAAATCCTATTTACAGGGTCTGAGGGAAGCCCACAAGTTGATTTATTTCTGTTCTTCGTTTTCACTAATCTACAGTCTTGTGTCAGTACCAGTGTTGATTACCACAGCTTTCTAGTAAGTTTGTAAATGATAAAGTTTTGAGTGTGCCCTTTCCCCTGGCCAACTGTGCAATTCTTTTCCAAAATTGTTGGGCTATTCAAAATTCCCTCCTGTAAGAGCAACTCTTTCCTGTTCTGTGCCTGGTTCATTCAACACACCAAGCACAGTAGTGAGGAACACAATAAAGATGAAGAACTCATGCCCACAGTTTACAGTTTTGTGTTTCCTACTAGAAATAGAAAAGAGAAGTTTATGGAACACACTGGAAGGACTGTCTTAGAAAAAGAGTGCTGTGCAGCAGAGTGGATACATGGGAAGACACTCACTGTCAGGACCACAGTCACAGGACCTGGAAAGCCAACACTGACAAGTAGCCTGTCAAGCTGCTGGTACTGAGCAAGAACAGAGAGGCTAGAGAAGACTGCAGCCTATAAATGACAAAGAGTAACTCAGATGTGGCTCACCACTGAGCATTTCACATTGCCTTCTGCTGAAAGTTCTGTTCCGTGCCAAAGAAGATGCCAAAGACACTGAATGAAGAGCCCTCTAAGAAGCTTCCAATAGTAAGTAGTCAACCATGTACACAAAAAGATAATCCCCTAAGCCAACATGACAGAAAGCAAATGGAGGACATGAGTACTTCCACATATTCATGCCCTTGCCTGCATGGAGCAATTCTTGCATTTCACTGCTTTTCTCGATAGATGGGTCCCCTCCCCCATAGTTCTTGTTGCTTTAGGAAGCAGTCTGGGAATGAAGAGCGAAGAATGAAGATAATGAGGCCAGGTACTAAGTAATGATAAGAAGGTGGTATTTGAGTACAGGCCTAAAGAAGAGCAGGTCCTTACAGACAAAGAGAGAAACAAACACAAGGCTCTAAACAACTGTGTCTGTCACAATGAAAGAGCAGGAGGCCACTATAGCTGGAGCAGAATGAGCAAAGGAGAAAGCAGTGGAGAGGGGATCCACTACACAGATGTTGGGCAAGAACTGCTGTGTCAGCGTGACGGCCACCAGCCTCCCATGGCTGTTTTTATCATATGAAATATGGACAGAAACAGAATTTTATCAATTTTAAAACTAATTAAAAGTTTTAAAAAAGTTTAAAACCATTATTAGGAAACTTTCCAGAACATTTGGAGTTCCCTGTAGGTATGTGAGTCTACCCTTTCAGTTGTAAATTTTGGGAAACTGAAATAAAAACCAAGTATTTCTAATAATTTTTTCTGCACTATATAAAATGCACACTACTTCCAAGACTTGGTATCACAAATAAAAATTTTGGCTTCAGATATACTAGGATTGAGAATCCCTATAAAACAGCCCAAGTGAGGAACTCAGAGACAATCAATATTGTTTTTAAGCAGCTAGATTTTGGCACATATCTAACACAAACACAAAAACACACAAATAGATATTTAAATGTACTGATGTATCATTTAAATCAGAATGACTTGCTTACAGGTAAAAAAGAAATTAATAATAGCACAGAACACAAACAAATTGAGAGTACTGGAGACAACCTGGGCTGTGCAATCACCCAGGTTTTAGACTTCTTTAGTAGCAATAAAAGAGAAGCATTTCCTCAATAGCTCAGAAAACTGGTCAGAGATTTTAACAGGCAAACCAGAACAGGCTCTAATTGCACCTCTTGAGCCACCCACGAACAAGAGAAATTCAAGTCATTCTCTCTTAAAAATCAATTAAAAACAAATAAATAAAACTCTTCAGGAAAAGTCTGAAATGACAGTTTGCTAAAGCCCAGACTTGCCATGAATAAAGGCAACTTATAAATGAAGAGAAGTATCCAACTTGAGTTTCGAGCTAAATAAGCTAAACTATTAGTTTACCAGAGAATGAAAGATGTTTATAGCTAGTAAGGTATCAAAGTTATTCTAGTTTATTACTGCTTTCTCTGTGTTGTTTTACTTTTAGCCTCTTTACTTTTCACTGGGGCACACAACTGTACAAGCAACGAGTCTCACTGTGACACTTTCCTACCAGATACCTTGCTCTAGACCCCATCTCTACTATCTTCTCTTAAACCCGCTTCTTTTCCCTTTCTCGCTTGTAACGGTTCCCTTTTTATTTTCATGGGTTTTTTTTTCCTGCTTTATGAATTTGCTTTTCTCACTTGACAGAATGATCTACAGTTACACCCATCTTCCTGTAAATAACAGGTTTTGTTCTTTATGGCTGAATAAAAAAATAGGTGTGTGTGTGTATGTGTGTGTGTATTCTACACTGTCTTTACCCATGCTGTCAGTGTGCCCCTAGTCTGAGCGCTGCAACACATCTTGAGTATGCCTGTATCTCTACAGAAAGACAGCTTTGACTCCCTGGAATACACACTTGGGATAATTGAATCATATAGTAATTCTATTTTTAATTCTTTGAGGACCCTCCATACCCATTTCCACAGTAGGTGAAATAACTTAACAGTGTATAAGGGTTCTTGTTTCCCACACATAAATATCTGTATTTTCTTGGTGACAGTTATTCTACTTTTTTCCACACTTATCAATATTTGTTTTTTTTTAATGATAGTTACTCTGATTGGCTTAAAATGGGACCTTAATGTCATTTTGATTTGCCTCTCCCTAATGGTGAACATTTCTTTCATGTATTTACTGGTCATTTGTGCTTCTTCTTTAAGGAGTATCTGCTCAATATACTGCCTGTTCTTTAGTTTATTCTCCTACTGTTTAGGTTTTTTTATTCCTACAATTATGTTAATATAATATCATTTATGCCATGGAGTAGAAAAAACAAAGATTTATTTGAGCCCTAGCTTTACCACTATGTAAGTGTGTGCAAAATTAAATTTTGTGGTAGAGCTCAACAAAAATCAATTACAAAAAAACAAGGAATAATAATAAAAAGATTAGATAATTTGGCAGACAAAAAAATAAATTTTGTGACTGTATCTATTATAAAATGGCTACACAGAGCTAAGAGTATAGCTTAAATGAGATAATATGCAAAAAATCCCCTATACACGGTGAATGTATACTACTCATTTCTAAAGAATTCTATTTTCTTGTGTGTGTTATGAAAAGAAAATGAACAACTGGCTAAGTCTACTAATGCCCTATAGTTGCTCATACTCATGATTAAAGTCAAACTTCAGGCAAGGACAGCTGTCCTCAAGTAATAGCAGCTGAATCTCAGAACCTACTTAATTGGCAAAAAATAAACACATTTTTAGTATGTTACAGTTTAAAACACATTTTCTTATTTAACTTCTAATTCATATGGTCTTC